ACTGCTCAAAAATTCTGTTTGAACCTAGAACGCAAAGCCAAAGCTTACATTCAAATTTTTTGAAATACTTCACGATTTTTTCTAAAGCCATAGCTTTAGATAAGATAAGTCTTGAATAACGTGGGTACTCACCACATAAAAACCATTTTAAGTAGGCTTGAAGAACGTTTCGAAGACAAAGAAAGGTGGAACATCCTTCTAGCATACATTTAATAGTATGCACCTCATTACAAAAGCCCATTTCAAAAGGCAAATCTGCTCTTGTTTAGGTGCTGCCATTTTGTTGGATTTGCATGAAGGCAATAATGATTTCTTGCAAATTATGGACGGACAATGCTTCCAAAGTGGTTTGCGCATCACTATAGGATTTTTAATACTCCTTGCTACCTACTGTAAAAAAAAGTCCCACAGCTACCATAAAAGCATGGAAGTCAAGGAGAATTAGGCTTTGGAATCGGACCTGGTATGAAAACCGGTATGTTGTTCAGTGAGTGTCGATACAGGAATGTACATCAGAAGCTGACGTTCTCAATGAGCTAAATTTACTCACATGATCTTACCTGAGTCCTTAATGGAGACACGATGTTTTCCATGTAATTCCTTTCGCAAATATTTTGTGCTAAAGTAAGCTCAAAATGGTTAGATGTCATGTTTCCATCCAACGTCTGGGAGTCTTCAGATGTGCCCTTTGCGTAAACTTTGGGTGTATTAGCACCCACACTCTCTAAGATATGCATTAGAAACGGTTCTTTCATAGTAAAATGGCATTTTGGTATAAGCCTTTTTTGGCAAAGTGGAAGATCTTTCAATTATGGGGCTACTCGTGCTAATGAGACGTAGAGATTGAATTTGGCATGTGCTCCGTACTGCTTGCTTGAGAAAAAAATATGATTTGGCAAACTGGTAAGAATTCCTGACGTTTAAGAGCGGAAGAGATCATATGCCTAAGTTTCCGATGAGGAGAGTTGTCTTGAAGTCGATTTTGTGGAAAATAACACTAGCAGCCTTATCTAATCTGGAAGACAATACTTCTCATTGGAAAGTACTCCCAAAAAACTCAACACTTCAAAATTCTCCTAGACTAACAGGATTACAGGCTAGTTATTTTAAAAAACAAAAAAAAGATTTTACCCTTCTATGGTGTTAACTATTTTATCAAGGTTGTACACTTCGTTGAATAGCAAGCAGTAAATATATTGTTTTTTTTTCTCTATGGAAATGCCATGATATTGGTAATCTTCAACACAGTGGAGCGATGCTAAAAGTGATTTTAAAAAAATCTAGGATGCTCAACAAACAAGGAACAACAGATACACAATAAACAAAGAGCGCTCAGAAAATGTTCAGCAAAAGGCTGGCACTCTGCCACCGACTTCTTTCTTCACTCAGATCAAAGTACAATGAAAGAATTCAACCCGCTGCTATCTCGATGCAATCATATTACTAAGAATGAAATTTTTTTAGAAATCGCTTTTGTACACGCAGCTGGTAAGTTTTGAAACTAAAGTGTATTGAAGAGTTCACCTATCAAGTATCTAAAAGGAATTAGTAACTGCTTGGAATGTTGTAGAAGAACAACTACTAGGAGTCCGAAATAGATAATGCTGTCCAGGTGTTATATTAATACACAAGTGCAAAGAGAGTGTATGCTTTTTCTATTATAAAATTATGAATTACGAGCCCAATTGACACACGTTTTTCTAAAGATGATATCGTTACTTATAATAAAGCGCGGACTTTTCCGTGTTGTGTGTGTGTTGTCTGTGTATGTGTGTGTATGATATGTATGTATGTATGTATCTGGGTATGCGTGTATGCGTGTATGTGTGCATGTGTGCATGTGTGTACGTGTGTATGTGTGTGTATGTGTGTGTATGCCTGTATGTGCGTAGTGTGTATGTGTGTGTATGTGTGTATGCGTGTGCGTGTATGTGTGTTGTGTGTGTTGTTTGTCTGTGTATGTGTGTGTATGATGTGCATGTATGTATGTACCTGGGTATGCGTGGCATGTATGTGTGCATGTGTGTACGTGTGCGTGTATGTCTCTATGCGTGTGTGTACGCGTGTGTGTGTAGTGTGTATGTGTGTGTATGTGTCTGTATGCCTGTATGTGTGTATGTGTGTGTATGTCTGTGTGTATGTGTGTATGCGTGTGCGTGTATGTGTGTATGTGTATATGTATGTGTATGAGTAGTGTATGCGTATGTGTGTGTATGTGTATGTGGTATGTATGGGTATGTGTATGTGTATGTGTATGTGTACGTGTATGTGTATATGTATGTGTAAGTGTATGTATATGTGCGTGTATGTGTATGTGCATGTGCATGCGTATGTATGTGCATGTGCATGCGTATGTGTATGTGTATGTGTATGTGTATGTGTATTGTATGTATATGTATATGCATGTATGTATGTATGTATGTATGTATGTATGTATGTATGTATGTATGTATGTATGTATGTATGTATGTGTATGTATGTATGTATGTATGTAAGTGTGTATGTATGTATGTATGTATGTATGTATGTATGTATGTATGTATGTATGTATGTATATATGTATGT